CACTAGAGTATCAGAAGTATCAAAAAACTCTTGAGTACAAGAACAAAAAAACAAACAAAAACACTGGATAATAATCTAAATATAAGCAGTAAACAAAGTAAACACAGGACAAAAATGCTTCATTTTAACAAGTATTCTGATTTAAAACATGAACACAAGTGTTGGCTGACAGTAGCTCTTAGATGTGATCCTGAGGTCATGCTACAATGTCCACACAAAATATCCTATTTTAAAACTGAGCTCCAGTAATGTTTTTGAAATGATGAAGTGATGTGAATTTATGTAGCCTAAACGATTAAATGCTCAAATTCTTTTGAAAGACAATATCTTAAATATTGAGTGAAAGCTTTATCACGACAGTGTTGTGGTGTTGCTGCCAAAGCAGGAACTGTGTGTGAAACATGAAGAGGGTTCATTTCTGACACAATCTTTACTTTTCCTGTCAAAGGTAAGTTTCTTCCTCCACCTTCACCAACATCTGTCCAAGCAGTGATTGCAGAGTTACTCGTGTGCACAGTGCCCTGAATATGACTGAACGATGAAACCTGTGCTGGCTGACAGGCTGATGGATAACTAGGACGTACATTAGCAGCAGACATGCGTACCTGTGTACACATGTCCTCTAAACACTGAAGCCTCAGTTGAAGTCATTAAAAGGAAGCAGCAAATTTCCCTGCATGCCTAACATAACAACAAACATCAGCAGAACCTGAATCATGCTGGAGATGAGGACCTGAAACTACCTTCATATAACACAGTTTATATGTGAACAAACATCGTGTGTCTTCCTTTCGAGGTGACATCCAAACTAAGAAGATATTTTCCTCTTCAATTAAGACTTTGGAGAAGATTCTCAGAACCTAGCAAGTGGTTCATTAAATAAGTACATAACAGGATCCAAACCCTGACAAGGATAAGCAGAAGAGAGCGGATGGCTGGAAGCACATCTCACTAAATGAGAACACACACATTCACAGTTTAAGTCAAACGTACGATTCACTGAGCCGTGTGGAAGCTGTACCTCGTAGTCCAGGTCCAGGTGATCAAACTCTCCATTGGTTCTGAACTGCTGAGTGTGGTGGTCCAAAGTAAAGTTGACATTCCTGCGGTAACGCTCGATGACAACAGAGTGCCAGTGGTCATCATCCAGCAAGCTCCCACTGGTCACAGCCGTGTGACCCTGAATC